TGATTGTAGTTTACAAATAAACAATTTATTAAATCCAGAAGAAAATTCTAATAATACTACTTTTGATGCTGAGCTTGCTGGATTGAATTATGAAAATGAAAATGAAAATCAATTAAATCAATTGAATAAAAAAAAAAAAAATCAATAGTTTCAAGCAAAAATGGTTATCTGAATATAAATGGCTTCATTATGACCATATCCATAGATGAATGTTTTATACAATTTGTATTCAACATAAAAGAAAAAATCAATTTGCCCAAGAAGGTTTGTAATAAAAATATTTCTAATATTTAATATATAGTATTATTAAAATTTTGTCATTCAATTAGGACCAAAAAATATAAATAGAAAATCAGCAATAAAATGTCACAAGGATTCACAAGATCACAAAGAAGCAGAAAAATTAGAACTTTTCCAAACTTGCAACAGAAAGATTAGCAGAAAAATTAAATGACAAATTTATTATATAATGAAAGTGATATACATATATAAGCATAATGAAAATTGTTTATTACATTGCACAAAACCATATTCCTATGAAAAAATTACCATCTTTAGTTCAACTTGCAAAAGAATTGCATACATCTGATAAATCACTTTCATATAGTAATGAAATGACATGTTAGCTGCTTTATCAGAAGTTATCTCAGAAAAAATATGGGATGAATTGTCAGAAGTAGAATTTTTTGGAGTTATAATAGATGAATTCATTGATATAACTACTACAAAACATTTAAATGTTTATATTACTTATGTGGTATTATTCAAACCAAATTTTTGCAATTAAGTTGTGGGGGGATGCTGATACAATTAGTTCATTATTGATAAATTTATTTAAAAAAAAAGGTAAATTTTTGTTAAATTTTTATGTATAAACATACACTATATACATTAATAATATATTTTTTTTAATTTAGACATTTTGAAAAAACTCATTTCTTTTGCTTCAGATGAAGCAGCAGTAATGATGGGCAATAAAAAGGTGTAACAATGCAATTAAAGCAATTGTGTCCATTCCTTGTAGTAAATCATTGTGTTGCCCATTGGTTGTCATTAGCTTTCAAAAGAAATTATTTTTTATAATCAGGCTGAAGAAATGATGAAAAGGATTTACAAATATTTCAAAAGTTCATCTACATGAAAAAATAGCCTCAATCTTTAACAAAAATTACTTAATATTCCTTGTATTAACATTCTGAAACTTCATGACATTTGTTGGTTAGCTTGGTATGATGCTGTAAAAAAATGTACGTGAATCCTTACCAGCACTATCATTCTATTTAAAGAATCTGAATCTGAAGTTGGTCAAAGATTATATAATGATCTTTGAAGATGGAAGATGATTGCATTTTTATTTTTTTTTTATGACATACTTGGTCATTTGTCACAACTGAGTAAACATTTTCAAAAAAAAATCTAAGGTTTAATGATATAGAGCCAGCAATTAAAACAACAATACAACTTATTAATTCAGAATATATAGATGCTCCTCAAGGATTGGTTACAGCAATGAAAGCATTGAATCCTTCTGAGTGGTCATCTATTTGAATCTGAGAATTTATTACATTTGGGCTATCAGAATTAAAATTTTTGGTAGATGTTTTTGGAGTAAAAAAATCTACCAATGTTAATGGTTATAATGAAATTTCTCCACTAATTGGTCAAAATGAATACCTGGTTTTAAAACAATTGTTGCAACTAATTATTTTGAAAAAAATATGCAAGAATTATTTCCATTAATTATTAATGACTTTCTGATGTGTTTCCAAACATTATTAGATTAATTAAAATTATTTATAGTATTCCATTTTCAAGTGTGGATTGTGAGAGGGGGTTTAGTGTACAAAACTTAACCAAGTCAAAATTGCATAATTCTCTTGGCACAAAAATATTAGACATGCTTATGAGACTTAATATTGAAGGACCAGATAGCAAGGCTTTGATTATGATAAAGCATTTATTATTTGGAATTTTTTTTTAAAATGGTTAGGTTTCACAATAAAATAATTTTTCTATTACCAGGAATTCCTAATTTTTTGACTGGTTCTTCCAATTTTTACCGGAATTTTGAATTCTAAACTGGAAAACCCTGCAAAATTTAATATTAATCATGATCTTGCATTCTTATTGGCCAATTTAACGATCTGCAAAGTAAAAATAGCCAATCAACCAAGTTTTAAGGAGATTTTATGAAAACCACAAGGACAACAACCAAATTTTTTTTTCATAGATCAATCAGCTTAATCTCAATGATCATTTCGTATTAGAAGGTGATGCTTTCAGAAAAAGTTTTTTATAACAGAAAAAAAATTTTTGGTGATCAATAGCCAAAAAACCGTTTAAGGGATAAATGATATTAACTAGGGGTAAGTAAATAAGTGGGGGAACAACTCGATGTTACACATATAGATTTTGTGAATCCAAAACTGTCACGCACTATGAAATTACTATGGTGCGTATCACCTATACTCATCAAAAATTTTCATGTGACTTCTAACTGTATCTAGTCCACCAATTTTAAAAATTTTTAAAAAATAAATGGTGCAAATATTACTTTAATTGATTCTCTTTCAATTCCACAGATTAAATTTTTTAATTGCTTAATTTTTTGGGGAGCTGATAGTGTTTAAAAATAGTCAATTTTATTAATAAATTTCAAATTTCGGAAGCCGATCATTACCAATCAGAATCCATTTGTTGTTCATTTTATCATGTGAAAATTTCTGGCCAATGAATAAATATTTTTAATGAAACACATACATGTAAAATTTTTAATATTAATTGTAACACATACACGTAAAATCTTTTGTTTCATATTAATTATTACAGATAAACAAAAAATGCCACCTCTTCCTAAAAGAAAAAGACAATTTAAAGATCAACCAAGAGATGCAGAAGGTAAATATTTATTAAAAAGGGTATGTAATGTTAATAATAAAGTTGATGAAACAAGGCAGAAGGAAAAGCTGAAAGAGAAAGAATTGGATAAATTGGATGTTACTAATATTAATGAAAAATTGAATAATGAGAATGATGGTTGGGATAATACAGGGAAACATGCTAATGATCTAGTTGATGATGGAGATGAAGCAGAATTGGACAAATTGGATGTTATTAATAATGATGAAGAGTGGGGTGATGATGATGATAGTGGTTGGGATGATGAAGAAGATATAGAAGAAGAGATTAAAATAAATCAAAGATTAAAATT